GAACGTGTCCTCAAGAACGTTCCCTCAAGCGGCGCAGGCGACCCCGCACTGCCAGCACCGCGGGCCGAGCGGCCGCGCACCGCGGGGGGGAGACGCTGACGGGGGCCGCCAGGCGGAGCCACGAGCTCGCCCAGCGCCGCGCCAGGCCGTGCTGAGCAGGGCTCGGGCCTCGCTAGGCCGCTCCGGGCCGTCCGGGCAGGGCCGCACTGCGCCTCGCTGGGCCGCAGCGTGCCGGGACCGAGGAGAGCGGAGCTCCGCGGGCAGGCCGCATACGGATCCAGGCCCAAGGTGCCGGCGCTGCCATGTACCGGCGGCGTAACCTCTGTCTGAGTAATAAACAGACAGATACAAGCCACAGCAATGTAAAAAAGCAGCAGTGCGTCTCCCTGAAGAGGAAGATACCAGCCACACTCAGCAGGGAAAGGCCACTAACAGCTCAGTGCTGATTCTGATACATTTTCTAGCGTTTTCTTCAACACAAGTCAAGACTCCTTAATGCACAGCTCTCCGTGTATTTCTACTCCTTCTGCTGACTTATTCCTTCTAATCTCAGGATGGTGTCTGGATTTAACTTTCATCATCGCTTTTAAGTTTAAATCTTATTTCCTTGCTAAAATTGGAGATAGGTATCAGTGCCCAGGCCTCCCCACAGGAAGGCACCAGGCCTTGCAGGCATGCTAGCCTTCTGGAGGTGGGGACAGCATGCCACAAGGGGACAGCAGGAGAGGAACTAGAGTGCTGCCTCCCCACTGAAAAGCAGGGAACTGCGGGGCAGCGTGAGGGGAGGCTGCACGTTTGCAGATAAGTACAGAGCTTTGTGGGAGCAGCTGAAAAGAGGCTGTGCTTCAGCAGAAAAGCTGAAATACCGCCGTCTAACTACCAGGAGTCTCGTTATCAGAGGCTGTATTTTCTCTCAGGTTGCGGATCTCATAAACATACGTATAATTCCTTCAGGATGTGTTGTTATAACATGTACTATTGCACTCATATGCAGTGTAATACATACGACTTTGCAACTGCTGTCTACATCTTAATGAAAATAAATTTCACTTTGCAAAATTCATTTGCAGCAAAGAAGTCTAGGGACAGTTACATTGGTTTCTTTTCCTTAAAATGGAGTTAAGCCTAGAAGTAACCTAGTGATATTTTTATGTGCATTAAGAATATAGTTTTGCGATGCTTTTCTATCCAGCAGAGGGACTTCAACAGTGTATATTGCTTGAAACATTTCCCTCTTTTGTAATGAGCATGCTCGATACACATATATTCTGCCTGTAACAGGGAATTTTGAGCCCATCCATGTCATGTAATCTTTCCTTACCCTGAGATGAAGATACAGAGAATGATAGGGGGCAGTGAAACATCACTGTATTGCAGATGTATCTATTCCTCCAAATCCTGCTTACTTTGCACACGTGAACCATTTTTTTTCACTACTGATGCTCTGACATGCCTGAGCATTTGCCATTGCAGGGTGAAACATCTCAGCATGCCTGATACAAATGTCTTAGGCATGAGGCTCAGAGGTTGCAGTAGTAAGGGAGATCATTTATTTACTAAGGCATCCTGAGACTGTATTATAATTTCTACCTTAGAAACCTCACTTAATGTTTAACTTCTACTGTCCTCTGTTTCCTTGTGTAGAAACAAAAGACTTGTACTTGTTTGTACTTCAGTGTAAAGACCAAACTCAAATGCATTTCCACTGTTTCTAGTTTTATCCACACACTTCTTGATATCTAAGCTCAAGATGTAACTTTCTTTACTTGTAGAACATCTTTCTATTCCCTGTATCTTTCCTTCACATTCTGTGATATGTAGAACACTTCTCTACTACTTACATTTCCCTCTTCAGGATACATATTTATATCAAGATATGTATTTAGCATATATAACTATTTGCCATTTCTGTAGCTAAAAAAATGTTCTATGCTACTGCCATATTTCAGTTTTATACTCTCCAGTTGTCTTCCTTTTCTACTTCCTTAATTTCTTACACTTTGCTCTTACACAATTAACTTCAGTTCCAAGACAAACTTTTGTTTATCCTTCAGTTCAAATTGAGTGATTTTTTTTACTTAATCCATGGTTACTTCCTGCAGCCATCTTTCAAAACACCCTCGCCATTTACCAGACATAATATAGAACAGCGTGCTTCCTGTCTGCCTCTGCTCATCTGTCACTGCTGGTGACTGCTGCACTACAGATTTCTAAATGTTCTCCAATAGAGAACAGCCAAATAACTTACCTCTGCTTATAAGTCCTTTCTTTTTATTTATAAGTAATGTAGCACTTACCATCCACGTGCCATAAGTATGTTCCATAAATATTAGCTAGTTAATCCTCACAACTCCTACACCAATAAACAAACATGAATTTAAGGCATAGAGGAGTTAAATGTCAACAGTTACACAATTAGCCAGTATTTGACTGGAATTAAAATTCAGATTTTCTCAATTCAGACCTGTCTTGAATTACCAAGCATTCTCACTACTTACACAAATCATCATGTAAAAGCTCAAGTAAGTTAAATGTTTTGGAAAAACATTAGTTTGGGATCCTTGAAGATTTGAAATAAATGATCAATCCAGTAAGCTGCCCTTTCCCAGATGTACTCCTCAATCTTGCATCCCTGTGAAGTCAGCTGTGTCCATCTCAGCACAGAGGTGAATAACAGAGAGCATCCTCTTCTTTCAGAAAGACTAACTGCTGATTATGATGTAGTTAAGGAAACCGGTGTCGATACAATCAATGGCCACAGCACAGGAAAACAAATACCCTGTATGCCACAATCTGTCAGTCCGAATGGACTAACGACCTGGGCATTTCCAAACACTTTTCACCCACCTCAGATTAATTGCACATTAAGACAGAGCGGGCGTATAAAGGAAACAACTGAAACAATGTTTGTATAGCCAAAGAGATAATGAGACTTCTGTCTTTCCCCAGAACTGGGGTCAAGCCAGACCTTTACAAAATTATGCATTCGTAATAAATGGCAACTTAATAGATTAATAGTGAGCAGTTGACAATTGGAGGGGAATTCTTGAGGGCAGAGACAGTTTTGACCAGATCTGTGGTTTTTCATGAAGACATGCCCATACCATACGCGCGCTGTTCAATTAACAAGAACACCCTCTACAGTCACTTGACAATTCCTCTTATCATCTTTGTTCTTTTCTTCTGTATGAAGTGAGGTGGAATTTTCCTCCACAGTTTCAGTGAACCCTGGCTGCAGCTTCTAAGAGGCTCATTATCTCTTCTATCACATCAGCTTCTGCTTTCAAGGCTTATTGTTTAGTTCTTAATATAAATTGAGAGACTAAAATGCCTTCAAAACACCCAAGGTGCCTTTGCACTGAGTAACCAGTAAATCATCGTGTCTGCTGTGAGATCTGTTTTATGAAAAAATATACACTACTTGAACACTGGGATACTCAAAACCTTTGGAAGTACAATTACCTTAATTTCTTCCCTAGATAAAAAAAATACTTAGTATTTAAATGGGTTATCATTTTGAATCTCTGTTATGGATTTGGTTTTATGTAAAATATATTTCAGAAACATGCAAGGCATTGCGTCCAGCAGAACTCTAAATCAAGACAGTTTTGCCACTCAAATAATATCAACCAATATGGATTAGGTTATGCAAATACAAGTTTCCTAACAACTGCTTTGTGCACTGGGTTGAGTAAATTGACCTTACTCTTCTGTTTCCTCCTTTGGCCAGGAGCTTCTTGTTAAGGAGCAACAATAAACTTACATAGGGAATAATTACAAAGTATTCCCAAGGGAGTTTATCACTGAAATCTCATTGAAGTTCAGTAGGATGATGGTGACTAATTACCCAAAAGCCAATCAAAAATTCACCATCTAAATAAGAGTGCTTGTGTGTGTTAGCATACATATATGTATGTGCACATATATACACATATGTTGATGTGTGTACGTGTGCATACCCACACTCATATGCAGTGAGGAGCAGTCCCATACATGTACCCACAAGTGACACGATACTGGAGTGCTCTGAGCTTGACAGAAGGTGCTCACATTATGTTTAAGTGAAACCTTTTCTCTCAATTACTACTCTCAGCAGTTAGTTCTGCCAAATAACACAGGTCTGCGCAGTGAAATGATACAGTATTGGCATTAGCATATAAAATAAAGGTAAGTATAGGTTTCTCATGTCTGTAATTCTTTTCTGTTTTCTCTGTATTGGATAAATTTGCCAAACACTTCAATTTCTTTTTCAAGGGTCTGTGTAAGATCATTGGTTTGATGGGGAAAAAAAAGTATATCTGTTTAAGACATAAGGATCATTTACCCCTCTGGTTCAGTTTTTGGTTCCTAACAATATACAATAAACATAACTATAGCAGACTATTTAATAGTCCTGTTAATATTACATGGCCTCTAGCTGAAGAGAGTCTAGCTGCCTTAACTAAACAAAACAACTTGCTGTAGGAGCAGTTTTCAGGACAGTGATAAATCAGTGTAATACAATCATGCACTGAGCTCAAAACAAATGTAAGACTGGCACAAATATTATAGTACAGCTGGGAGAAGTCAAAGGTATGTACACGTCATTGACAAACATTGGTGCAAATGCTTTAGACAAGACATTTAAAAGAAATTTACACTTAAACATAGATCAAATTTATCAAAGTTTGATAAATTTTAAGGACAGTAAAAAAGTACAGAAAACATGAAAAAATAAAAAAATCCAGCAAATTCATACAGTACAGTTTTACTACATTTATATTACAGAATGAAGACAGAAAAGGATACAAAGAATTAAGGGCAAAGAAAATGGCACTGGCCGTACCCAGTGGAATTTCACTGCCAGTGAGAGATGCGCACACACAAATGCACGCTCACACACAGAAAATAAAGACAAGAAAACAAAAATCATCTACGGTAACAAATGACAGACACAAAGGTGAGAAACATTTGGCATGTTGCAGCACATGAAGTCATTCTCGATTGGCTAACGACGGTACCTGGCTCGGCTGAAGATCACTGGCTTGCCTGAGCGGAGTAACGGACGGAGGAGGCACACCTGATGTGGATGCAGACCGACCTAATCTGCAACTTGCTTTAGGCTCTGGGAAAGAAAAGAAAAACCAACAAGTGGGAAGCTGGTTACTGCTGCATTAACCAAAGCATGGTGCACCCAGGATTCCCTTGAAATGAAAACTCCAGCCTTGAATTCTAGTTAGCATTGTGCAATTTGCTGGATCGTGAAAAGCTGGGCTTAGAAGGAGGGAGATTAGGATGGAACCTAACATCCCATGTTCTTTCCTTTCACTCTAGTGTCTCTGAAACTGAGGTATAGATTATAAAACAGCAAACAGACTGGAAGCACACCAAGAAAATCATGTTGCCCTCCTTTTAAGGAAACATTAACTAAAAGCAGTGAGGATACTATTGTACTTCGGGATTTGGAATGACACCAAAAGCTCTAGGAGATGTGATGGTAGTGACTTGAAAGACAATGCAAGAAGAAAGGAGAAAAATCAGAACTTCAACAGTGGCAAATTCTGAACTCAGTTCCCCAGAACTGAGGTGATTACAGAAGCCTTCAATTAGAAGAGAATGTTCAATTCCAGAGAAAAACTGAACAGAATTTACATGGTTATTTCATTTTCTTTCCGTTGTACATGAAGGCAGTTCTCAGAGGGCTCCCCACTGGCCTCCAGTACAGGTTACTTCTGTTAACATACTGACATGAAGCAGATCAGCACAGGAGTCCTGGAAGGTTTATGTCTGAGCTGTGCTGACACTAGTGTGCTACCCGACAGTGCTCAGCATCTCACATCTTGTCTACAAGAAACCATCTTTTTCTAAGGAAAGAGTCTGCCTGTTTCTGCTTGAGGAAAGTTGTTGTCCCTGTGCTTCCTGTTTATACTGAGCAGACAAATCCTTGCAACCATGGCTTTTGGCTCAGATGAATGTGCTCGTTCTCCCCATGCTTACAAGCCCTCCTCTTAACCCTGCACCTGTCTTTCCTATTTAGTGGGTAATATTGAGACCAAGAACACTCACGCTCAGCAGATCTACTTTGTACAACCATGGACTTTCAATTTTTAGCTGAAATAATAGTGCTTTAACATGAAAAACAAGTAACTATAATACCATGCCTCCTCACAATGGGTTGAAAGAATTTCTCTTATTCAGCCTCACATTTTCAAGAAGAAAGGAAAAATTTATGCCTTCTGCAATCCAGGTTTGCCTCTGAAAACCATATTTTGCTTCTGTCTCTGAAATATATTTTCTCATGCCATGTTTAAACTGTTGTTTTGTCTCTGTGTGTTTTGTCTTAATATTTCTCTCCCGTGTGGATCTGTGGGATCATCACTAGCCAGTGGTTGGGCCAGTGCTGAGAAGGAATAAAGCTGTCCACAACTAACATGTCTTTAAGTTCACGTTGTGCATCTTGGAAACTTGAGGATAGCTGACAGGTCACGCCATCTACCAGCAGTGTGCTGAAATTTGTCCTTCCAGTCTCTCTGATGTTTTTTCATTCTTGTCTTAAATGGTTATTTTACAGGAATTCAAAATCGAGTAGAGAAGAGAATTGAGTGGAGAAGAGCTATCCACTTAAGCTGAAGCACTTAAACCAGTGAAAGCATCTGTATGGGTGAATATTCATCAACTAAATATTAATACGTTGGTTAACATCCAGCTGGCTGAGCAGCAAAAATATTTATGCTGTTTGACGAATGCATTATTCAAGTCACTCATTCCTAGTCAGTCTGTAAACATACCACAAGTCAACACGGCAGTAAGCACACAGAAAGGAGCGGACAGATCTCCCCCATAACCTTATATTTTGTACATAATCTGTTGTTTTGCTTTTTTTGGATGTAGGTGGCTATTTCAGGAGTTTGATTGTATTTTTGTTCAGATTTCACACTGTCTGTGTGCCAGATAGCTGTTCCTTTCAGTCATATAAAAATAATAATAATGGGTTTCTCTTCCCTCCCAGAATTTTTCTGGGGTTTCAGAGAGAGTGAGAAGAGGGCTTTTTTGGTCATTATTCTCCTACTGCTAAGTAGAGGCTCTGTTTTTGCTGTGACAAGCAAAATCAGACATTCAATGTGTCAAAAACTCCAAGGCACTGTCTGCCACTGCTTCTGAGTTTTCTTTAATTCTGGAAAGCAGAGAAGAGTTGTAATTTCCCATTTGGATATATGTGCAACAGCAAAAGATTACCATTTCCTTGCCAAAGAGATTCCTTTTATCTGGCATCAAAGAAACAAAATCTATCAGACACAGATGAAGGATTACTTCCTTTGTCTCCCTGTAATATATTTACAGTATTAAGGAAACTATTGCAATTTCCATGGTGATCCTCATCAAGAGCAGTTCAAGAAGTGAGGTTATGCAGTGAAAGGGAAATGGCTTCTCTAATAGCCATTCCACTGGTGTCTCTGGGAATATTTTTAGACCAAATACTTCATTCTACTCTAATTAGTGCTCTGAGTAACCTCTCCACACTGCACACTGCTGTGGAAAAAAAACCTTAAACACTGTTTATCACTAGCAGTGATGCCCAACTCACTATTTTGCATTCTGCAGCCATGCTATTTTTCAAGTTTATTGTACTAGGGTTAACTGGATGTTGAATGCAACGTTCACTTCAAGTAATTTCTACTTTAGGCGGTCTAAAAAACAGAAAGAGATTTTCTTAAGTAATTTTGTCCACTGTCTAGTCACTTTCAGTATCAGCAGCTCTTGGTTTGTGTGTTTTAAATGGCCAGTTCATTTAAAACTTCATTTAAAACAAGTTCAACTTGTCTGCAAGGTTTGTATATCAATATAGAACCTGATTCAGGAATGAAAATGAGTTTTAATATTTCCTGCTGAGAACGCTGAAGGAGGAACAATTCTGCCAACAAATTTCAAGCATGGTTTCTAGCATTTGGTTTGTGTTCATATCATATGGACAATATTCAGACAGGTCCCTATTAACATCTGAAATGAACAGTCTTGAGAAAATGTGAGAAGTTCCTTCTGTGACTGCAGAACATGGTGTGGAGCAGGGCACAGTTCTATCAGTCAGACTGAGGAACACATGGGGAAGGCTCTGTAGATGTCTGTCCCCCAGGATGGACCCATTTGCTCAGGTTCCATGGCAGTCCTAGCTAAAGCACCTCTGGTTCCACACTGATAAATCTGATGTGGCACCTCAGCTCTGTGCTGCTCTTCATTTGACAATGTATCCCCTAGTTCTAAAGCAAAACTGCACAAAAGAGTTCCAGAGACTCCACTCTGCATCCACAACTAGGGGCCTTTTGCCATTGCTGTAAAGCCACTCAAATGCTGACAGGGGCTAGCAGCCTACTGCCAAGGTAGGGAACTCATGGGCATATGTCTAAGTGCTTTACTGGACTCGAGCCAGAGGACTTCAGCAACCATTAAAAATGCTTGTTGCAATCAGTGGGCAGCACGTGAATTCAGCAGATTATTCAGGCTAGCTATCTATCTGCTCTGTAGATTTTATTTAGTTAGGTTAAGCATGAAAGTGTTCATAAGATTCAGTTGCTATATTTCACTGAAAAAACTTCTGTGGTATTATTTGCACACCTTCAAATGACAATTTCCTCAGACCATGCCATTTTATGAAAAACACTGCTCACAAAGAGCCTGAACCAGGAGCCAGGCGCTGATGTACAGAGCTAGTAGTGGGTGGCTGGTCTGCTGTGTGTCAGCCTCTGCTCATGTCCCCTGCTATGTCACCCACAGCAGTCATGAGACTCCCAGCAATCCCAGTGGTAGGGAATGAACCAGTGTGGCCAGTTGCACTGGGAACAGCACTACTGGACTCTCGGGTTTTAAGCTGAGTCCTGACACTGCCAGCAAGATGATGTGGACATAAGCGAGCAGAGAGCCCCTAAAGGACAACGTTAAGGGTGACCATTTTAGGAGAAAATACCTAACAGAAATACAGGCTTTCTAGTCACAAATACGACTGTCTTAAAATTATGTACTTAATTTTTTAAGAACTCACATAAATGACCTGTTTTCCAAAAACTCAACAAACTGCTGTCATCCTAGCTAAACGTGCAGAAGCTTGGTTGCTTGCATTTGGGGCAGAGAGCGTTGGATTTCACTCAACAAAGCAGAATGCTGAGAAGAGACAAGATTTTATGGAAATATTTTCCATCAGTTTTATACCAATGTGTTATTGCTTTCTATATTCTCCAGAAATACAGCAGCTCTGCACAATTTTTATTTTTGGATCTTAACGAGAAGAGTTCTTTTATTTATCCAAGGAAGACTTCATTCTGCCTATCCTAATCTTAATTCAAAAAAATACTCTGGCTGTCACTTACATTGGAGAAGCTTCTTATCCTGTCACAGTCTCTTCTTTGCACATGAAAAGAGAAATATTGCTTATTTGCTACAGCTGCCAAGAAGCACGTTTTGAATTAAACAAGACGATGTGACAGGCTGAGAGTAATCACATGCAAAAAAAAAAAAAAAAAAAAAAAAAGAAGAAGAAGAAAACATGCATATTGGAAAAATAAATCCCGTTATCATCATAGTGGCCTGGCTGCGCTGGTCTCCTAAAAAAGAAGAGTAAGCTGAAATATAACTTGAAATTATGAAACCTTAGAAGTGGAATAAACTATATATGATTCTTTCACTTACAGAAAATATTCAGGGCTTCATCTGCAGGAACTCCATGCCTAAATAGCACAGCCGCATGTCAAACCGAGCGGTTTTCACAAAGGAAGCCTCCATGCAACTCAGTGTTGCCAGGTATCAAGAGGCCAAAAGCTTAGCAGTACTCAAAACCAAACAAGATGAGAAAAAACATCTCCGCTTTAGGTGGGGTCTGTTTTAAGTTAGGATTTGTTCTGAACCATCATGTTTCAGGTCTATGTCAACAGCTAAGGCAATGAAATAAGGAATAAACACTGGCACTGTTCTTTTCTTCAGCAATTCTTTCTGTTTTTCTCTGAAGCTTTTGGCACTGGTAGCCATCAGTCTTAGGGCCCAGGACCAAAAGGACAATTTGGCAATTCTGTTGTTCCATGTGGCAGCAGTGCTGCTGCAGAGAGATCGTGTGTGTCTGCGGTCAGGCTCTGCGATGGGGTGGAGCAGCACACTGGAGATCACACACCTGGCTCATGGCATAGTAGCTCAGTCCTCTCAGTGCACAGTGCCCACCAGGCACTGCCTGGGGACAGCCTGTGTGCTGACCGACCACAGACAACCAGTGTAGGTAAACTCTGAAAGCATCGCATGCTGGCCTGGACTCGTTGCGCTGACTACCCAGTAGTGTGTACCTCTAACATCACCTTTAGTTGCCTTAGCTTGGAGAATCCTTGAGGATTTAGTAATGCTGATATTGCCTTATTAGAACAGTTAGTTTGGTGGGAGTACTGAGTCTTCTTTGGGTGAAGTAGCCCTATCCGGTGTGAACTGATGCTGTGCCCCTGCTTCCTGCTTGTATCAATGAATGTGACTTGCACCTTGGGCTTTGCAAGCATCTCTGAATTCCCAAACAGCTTGAACTTAACTATTCATTACTTTTGCAAATCCACCACAATACCAACCAGTAATTCCAATGAACAGCAGATATTTACTCCCTTCATGATTATCTGCAACGTTTTCAGCTTGAATACAAAATGGGTTGGCGGAGTGACAAGCTAATGGTGATTCAAAAACAGTGCAGAACTGAGCAGCATCTGTGATACAAGAAGCAGTGCAGTGCCTGTCTTTAGCAGCAGGTGGCAATGCAAAATACTGCTTCATAGTTGCAGTTAGAAAAAAAAAGAGGCAACATTCCAGAAAATACTCTTCAAAGCTCCTGGAGTGAAGTTATCACAACCTTCTGTTCCACAGAACTCATTTGGCTGTTTGCTAGAATTGCAATGACTTTCTTAAAGGGCAGCATGCCCCCAAAGCACTTCCACTGCTTTCCCTGTAGGATGACACAAAATAAAAATTTGTCTTTACGAACTGTGGGGCAGATGAGAGAACAATTAACCATTAGGTTCAGTGATACCCTCTGCTTTTGACAGGCCGTGCTCACTCAAACACAGTGACCAAAATTTCAAGATCCTGTTAGGAGATGGCTTATTTCCCCTCAGTCCTTACCAGCAGGTGCAGAGAACACACACACACACACACACACACAAAAAAGAAGGGTACTCACTTAGATTCTCTCCAGTTCCTCAGCTGAGCTGCCTATTGAACACACATTATTTCTGTTTTACCACAGAGCATTTCAACCTCATTTTCTTTATTTCAACAGTGTCTAACAAGTGCCTGGACCAGTGCAAATTAGGAGGTAGGCAGGACACTGTGGGACTGTGGTCTTTAAAGGACAACCTTTTTTTTCTTGTATCTATGCTGTTGGAAAGAGAACAATGATGATGACTATACTAGGGATTGCCCTGATTTTATTTGATCTTGTGGTAAATCTAAGTTCCAAATTCCTAGCACATCTGAAACCAGGACACACAGAATCACTTTTTTGTTGATTTCAGAGAGCATTTATATCCATACAGATGTATTGAATCTCTTGCATTCTGTTACACTTCTAATTTAATTGCAAGGAATGAACTGTCGTAGTTCATGTATAAGTTCATTGATGAGTACTGTATAGAGCATTTTGAATGTAGTGCCCCACCAATTAAAGGTAAACCACGTTGCTCAGGCAACAGCTAGAGATACAGGGGGAAATATTCGTGGCAGATGAGAGACAATATTCATCAAATGAAATGTCATAAAAACTGTGGGGAAGGGAAAATCATGATCAGCTCACAAATTTTCTTCATAAAAGAGGAGTCAAAATTCAGCCAATGAATATTTTTATAATATTTCTTACCATGAGTCTTTGAAAGTCTTAGTTATGCAGGAGAAAGTCACAGTAAACTAAATCAAGGCATGATTCAACAACTATTACAGTTTGCAGATGCCAAATCAAGATTGAGGCCAAAATGTTTTGTCTGCTTTTGGAGATCAACCAAGTCTTTAAAATAAAACTTATGTAGAAAGGCTGAGCAGAAGTGCCGTGTTTTGCTAAGAACTCACTCTTTAATTTTCATTTCCTTTCTGTCCATACTGTCATCCAGAAGAAAAGAAAAGACTGCTACACACCTTTAGTTTAGTTATGAGATGTCCTGATGCTTTGATGTGGTACCTGTGAACCCAGTCTTTCACCTGTTTCAGCACTGATGATGCTAAAATACACTGGGAAAAGAATTCTGAACAAAACTATGAGCAAAGCTGGAAATTTTCTAGCTACCAGAATGCTTTGTGAGAACAGATGAGTAAACAACGTAAAATAACCTGCACTGCAGTCATGAGATTTGCAGAAAAGATATTTTTGCTCCTGCAGGCAGGACTGTTTGGGGGGCATACTGCAGCAAGAAAAGCTAGACTACACAGCTGTTGCAAATGCTACTTCTCATCAGTAAAAGCTGCTCAAGTTACCTACTGAGTTTCTGGTGTGATTTCCAGCAAGGAAGGGAAAATGTGAGTTCTATTATCTCATAGGGAAGCGATGCCCTGGTTGAGGGCTGGGTACCTCTGCTATCAGCAATGTAAAGACAGATGTCTGCCACTGAAAGCCCAGCGCACCACTCCTGAAGGAACAATTTCTTGTTTGAGTAGCTCCTTCATCGCCTTATTTTCACTGAAGCTACAAGGCTCCAATAGTATATATGGCAAGTGTTTTTAAAGTGGGTATTTTCCACAGCCCAAGCAATAAGCAATAACGTTATTATTCTAAGTGAACCGTCAAATGTCAAAAAGTGACAGTGCAGTCCTTATCCAAGAGCTATACATATCTATTTAGATGTAGATTCATTTAGCAGTTGTGTTTGTAGTCAATTTATAGAACAGGATGTGTTATTTCCCACAGCTTACAGCAATTCACTATTTTATATATATGAAATATGATTGATACAATGGATATGAATTTGAGACTTCTGAAACCCACTGTCAGTTTTCTAAGCATTCATGAATAGGCATAAAGAACAGGCTGCTGTGTCCACTCGCTTAGCACATCAAGAAGACAGCCGTGTTTCTGTAAGGTATGCTTCTGTTACTGTCTGTGAACTCTCTGAGTTGTCATCTGGGGAGTGAGAAGGATTTTTTGGCATAGAATCCCTCTTCAATGTCAAACAGTATTTTTAACATTCTTTTAAAATAGCTGAATGGCAAATGTACAGGTTTATATTTCCTGCCACCATCCCAATCCTGTTCCAGTAGAGTGCACAAGCAAACAGCACAATACTTATTTCTGCAGCAGCTAATGGGCATATTCTAAAAGACATTTGGAAGTCTGAAGAATCCAGACGCTTACTTACCTCTCTAGAGATGCCTCAGCTCACAAGGAGATTCATGACACCTTCCCTGCTCCGCTGTTTGACGTACCTGAGCTGTTGCTTCCAGCCAACATGGTTGGACTGACAGAGGATCTCCCCAGCCTGCTGGAGACCATGGGTGGGCCCGGCGTTCCATCCCATTCCTGAGCTTTCCCTGGCTCCCTGGAAGAAGCTGTCCCATGGTGGCCTCCCCTCTCTTTGTTTTCCAGCTTTGGTAGTGGTTCAGTGCTGTGACTTCTGATCTTCAGTTCGTCCAGCGGTTCTACAAGAATACACACATGCCCATTTCATTATGGAGTGCCTGCTAATACTGCCCATACTATATTGCAATCCTCGGTTCTACATGACAGTTATTATTAACCTACTATAAATCTTTTAGGGGCAATTTATATCACTATTTTTACCATTTAGGCCAAAAATCTATAGTTTATGTTGGTTTCAACACACTTCTTAATTAAAATAATACATAGTGTAGGAGATCAGTAAAATGTGGCTTTCCTCTCAGTACTTCAAATGCCAGGAAAATATTTCTGAAAATGATATCCTATCAAATCATGATTTTATTAACAATTTGAGAAAATAATTCAATTGTTCTCAGATGTCATTTCTGAGGGAACAAGTTCTTCTCCAGGTACTTTCTAAGGAAATTTTCCCCTATGGCAATTTTGTACGAACAACATATCTGTATTCCTTCCTACAAAGCACACAATACACAAAACTGTCCAGTGCTAATATTTCAGGTGTGCTCAACACTGTAACCTAGGGAATAAAATTTCACTTGGTTGAAAAATCCTTGAAGACATAAAAAGACTTTCTGCTTCAAACACCATGAGTCAATACAAGGAGAAGAAATTCAAAAAACAATGGAATGTTTTTTCAAGTGAAGCAGTGCTGTCTGCTTTCTTCATGGCTGGTGATTTTGTTTCTTTCTTGAGACCCTGATTTCTTTTCTTTCAGGTTGAGCAGTGCAATGGAGAAACAATTCCTGATCACTTCCATCCGTAGAGGTGAAGAATTCACAGAAAAAACTATGTACAGAAGAAACATTAGTGAAGTCATAACAGCTAATTATTGTGTTAGTTATTGAAAGTTTGCTTAACTGTTTAATTCCTTAAACGTCAGAATTACTGACTTGGGGATTTCACATGTCATATTTAAACCCAAAGACATTCTTACATGATACGCTCAGTTCTAGTCATCCAGATTTATAAATATAATTCTTAATGTACCTTTGTTTCAGCATTTATCCACAGTCTTGGAATTTACGATTGATACAGATAGAAAATCTTCCCTTGAGCCTCATCTCAAAATCTTTTCGTGGCTGCAGAAGGCATTCCAAGACTGGGGAAAGCCAAGTGGAGGGAAAATGCCAGGAGCCATTCACAGACAAGAGGTGACAACAGCCCCCGGGAGATGCACGCTTCTCCTGAACTGGACTGGGTCTGCAGCATTGCCAGAGATGCAGTACCAAAGCTTGCCTCACTAACTCCTTCCTCTCCTAATCAACCCCCTGGCCAGAAGAAGCCGAGACCATCCAACAGGAACTGCCACTCAGATGGTGCAGCCCCAGAAAAACAAGCCATGTTCCTCCCCGCACTGTTTACCCTTGCTACAGGAAACAGTGGTAGAGGCAGTATTTGATCTCTCTAGGGGATGATGGAGACCTCCCCTACAAACAACAGCGACAAAATCTCCTATTTTGACATTGAGTTTCTTGTCATTCCAGTCTGAGGATGAACTTGTTGATGAGCAACAACAGCCATTCTGGAGTTTCCTCAAGGAAATACTGGAAGAAAAAGATCTAACTCTACATACAGTGCAATATGTAATTGTTAATACATTTAATGAGTTACTGTCAGAACTGAAAATTTGTGATGTCACAACCTCACAAGATATCACAACCTTGAAGATTTTTAAAAATTACTCACAGTAGTAACATTCCATCAGAAAACTGAAAAATGATCCCAGTTTAGCAAGTCCCATAAGCAGCACTCAGTGACATTTTATGTGAAAGACCTTAAAATCAAACCACTTCCTTGAACTTTTAGGTCACTTACCTACTTTAATGTATGCAAACAGACAACAGAATGAAAATCCAAACTGTTTGTTTTCCTGTTTGGTAACCCCAGCAGGGTACGAGGCTGAATAACAGTCTGTACCAATATAACATGACATCTGCCTTTCAGGGACCTTTGCTATGAGCTGTCTGTAACACAGCTCTGTGACAGCATAAAGGGATTTGCTAACATAAAGAGTTGTGCAAAGAAATGCTTGGCCCAAATTACAACTAGATTTGAACTGTTTTAGTTACCAACAAAAAGGCAACAAGTATTGTTACTGAACCTTTATCTACCAAAAATAATGGTGTACTTTTTCACATAAAAGACGTATGCATTTCTAATTTTTTTCTTTTTATCAATAAAATGCACTTTTCTCAGATACTGTGGGAAAAGGAGACATCAGAACAAAACTTCAAAACATTCTGGAACCGCACACAACCATTTCCAGACTAATACAGGACTCCATCTAGCCTGCAACTCTTACCACCCAGCAAAACTAAGACAAAGCCAAAAGAATAGAAAATGCTTTAAAAAAACACTGGATCTGGCCTTAACCACACCTACTAGCTCAGCACATCATACAGCAGAATTAATTTACTGTGTCACTCAGCTGCTGCCAGGAATGCTGTGATTACCTCAGTGAAAACCTTGCCTGTGCACTTCCCATTGACACTACTTGAGCACCAGCCCTTGAAATCTCAGGTGCTCGTGCAGTCAGCCCTTAACTACAATGGAAACACTCAGGTTGAGTGTGGAGCTAAGGATGTGTCCACTTCAGTTTACTCAACAAGGGAAGCATTTGTACTTGGTGCTTGATAAAAATGATTTGTGCATGCTTAGCTTTATTATCAGCTGAATCAAAGTACAGCAGGCCTCTGCAAACAGCTGGAAAGTATGGGAGTATTCAGGATAAATAAAGAGTTGGCTTATAGTCTGTTTCTTTATAAGGTGCAGAAAATCAGTCTTCAGCTGGCTGTCTAGACTTTGTAAATTTAAATTCTTTCTGGAGGATTTTCAGTTCTCAGTTTATCTGAAAAGTAATATATTCTAAAAATGAAAAGCAGATTTAATCAGATTATAATGTCAAGCAACCCGACACGAAGCCTGAATCATTATTATTTGGTGATCATTATCAGTAACACTGATACACACAGCCTGTCAGTGTTTTATATAGTTTTCTATAATATTACTTTCCTGCTTGCTTCAGAATATATTAAAAATTTTTCAAAAATTTTAATATTTCCCGTTTACTCAAATTGTTTGTGGGTGATTTTACAAGAATTTCAGCTTCCTTAATAGCTGTCAATGGGAATCATACTTCAAATTCAATAAATAATCACAGTGCTAGTTCTCACTTGATTAAAAGAGTATTTCACTTCCACCATGTCTGTGGCAGCTCCAGGAATTCAAAAAGCTCCTCTCCAGGTCATGGAGCAACACTGAGACCCTTTGGTGACTCTCACCATCACTTGGCTGTTCACTACTCTGCGCTGCAGACGCAGCCCTACAGAGCAAGCTCAGTGGCACAGATTACTGTCTCTCATAAAGACATGTTCATTACTTTATATTTTCACTCATGCTGATAGGCACGAGGCATTGGCAGAAAGCAGAATATGGATGTAGCTCCTGGCTGCTGTTACCTGTGGGTGGTGACCTTTTCACAGACTGAAATCAAACTGGAACATTTTCAATGGACCAACCCTCTAAAATAACAACAGCAAGATTTAAAAGGCCACTTTATTCACACTGATTCCATACAAAAAAAAAAAACTCTAACTAGTCACATGGAAGCTTGTATTCTCCTGGAAGATAACAGTAACTGCCACACAACTTTTATTTATTTTTTATTCAAAAAGTGCAGCAACACCTTGGATGTAAGGTACTTCCAGCCGTTAAAAGCCTTAATTTGGAGTTAGGAGATATTGAAGCTTGATGTTATGCTGGGAATTCAGTGTGTCATATGATGGCCACAGGCAAATCTTTTTACAGTCAAGTGCTGTATTTTGAAAGCTGAAATTGTTATGGAAAGCATCTTCATTGTTCAATAATTCGTAAGCCGAAATAGTACATAAAAATGTAAATTTCAAGAAATAATTCACTGCTTTAAATATTTATGGATACAGTTGGCTGAACTGCCATAAAGGCGCTCGAATGTTTCAAGCACTTCCAGGTGTCACTGTATTTCAGTATTCAAAGACATGCATTTTCCTTATTTATTTCACCTAAGTCTCAGGCTTTTCAACTTCAAGAATAAGATGGTAGCTAACGTTATATATGAGAACATATTTTATTTATTATTGATGTGCACCATTTCCCCTTTATGAAGGATCCCCTAATATCTGCACACCTGGCAATGGTGGTTTGCGAGCTTTGGGATTGGAAGTCTCATAAATGATACAGAAAGGGAGAAACAATTTGGATTAATCAGCTGTAACTCAGACCAAAACAAACAGAAAAGCACAGCTAAGGAAAACATCTCACCTGAGAAGCAATCATTCAAATGAATATATTCTCTATGGCCAGTCTGCCACTTAAGTTCTTAAGCACAAATTAATTGCAGGTCCTGATGGCCTCTAAGAACAATGCTGGGTAATAAACAGCAGAACCTGCATTACTGTTTGCGGCTTTTAGGGGGGTGGGGAGGAAAGGAAAAAGTGCAATTGTCTTAAGAAACTTTAAATGAGGGTTGCTGTCTGCCATTTTTGTCAGTTGAGATGAAATGTATAAGCTATTCATCCATGCATTATTCATTTATTCTTCTTCTGTGTGTTTGTTATAAACCTAAATAAATAATACATCATTCTAGGCAGAACTCATATAGCTTGGGAAGTAAATGGTGCTGCTCACAAGGTCTACAATTCAGCACATGCAAAGCAAGGACGGTCACCTGGGACGGATGTTGATGCAGGGACCAAGAAGTACTGATCATTCCCAACGCATCTCACCTCGCACCCTACAGGGTGGCACAGCCTGGCTGGAGAGCATCACCAAGGGCGCACTTGGCTACAGCAGGGATGGAGATGGGGGATTAGGCTGTAACCTGCACATGAAGAGTGGAGCCACCTCAGAAACGTCCCCAGCTTCTACCCCTTTCCCTGTTCCATCCCCCAACTCATGGCACAGGGAAAAAGCCACCACGGCTCCAGCAGCGCCCCATGTATTACAGCCCACATGACAGCAGCACCTGCCCATCCACTGCAGA